AATTTATATGTAAGGGTCTTTACAAAGTTGCAACACTATGATTAGATAGTAAGTTTTATTTAAACTTTTAAAATTTGTACTATTACAAATTATTTAACTCCATTGATTCATAAAATTTTCTATTTTATTCTGATCATAATAACTTTTAAATTCTTCTTGAGCCAAAAAAAATTCTGTTGAGCCAAGAAACCTTGCTGAAGTAAAAAATATTGTTAAGATGAAAGTTTTTTTTGAAACAAAAAATGCTAGTTACATAAGTAGTTTTGTTGGAGCTAAAAATATTGTTAAGACAAAAAATATTATTAGAGCAAAAAGTATTGCTGAAGTAAAAGCCTTGAAGCAAAAAGTATTGTTAAGGTAAATAACAATATTGAGATAAAAGGTACTATTGGAGCAGAAGATATTGTTGAGATAAAAAATCTTGTTGAAGCAGAAGGTCTTGTTGGGGTCTAAGATCTTGTTAAAATATATATTATTAGAGAAAATTTTTTTTAATTGAAGTTGTGAAACCAAATTCTTTACTATTACTATAAATATACTTATTGTTCTTATTGATTTTATTATTTTCAATATGATTATAATCATAAATTAAATCATCCTCTGATCCATCAGTTGCAATTAAGATGCTACAATAATTAAAAGAATATTTAACTAGCTAAGTATCAATGGTATTCTATACATGCTTTATTTATTCTACAATAATATTGTAGAAAGAATATTTAATATAACTGGCTTTAGTTAATTGCTTTATTTCTTGTATCATCTATTCATTATACATAGATCTAACCTATTAATAAATAAATAATATATATTAATATATATTAATAGTGACAAAAAAACAATTAAAATAAATTATGTGAATTTAGTATCTTGTAATATAATGATTATGAAATTGTATTACAATATTTATAAATAAAAATAATAAAAAAAAGAAAAAAAAGACAAAAAAACATCTTTATCTTGAATAATTTGTTAATTAATATATCAATTGGTTGAACTTTTGATATTAATCTATCAGAAATAATTGTAATATTAGTATTTTAATTATAAAATTATTTTTAATAGGAAAAATTTTGTGACCCTGAAAAGAATTTATTATTAATAGTGATTGTAGATTTTCAGAGCCTGATATATGATTTTGCTAAATCTTTTCAATTCAAAAATCTATATCTTTTTTATTTATCTATTCTTTTTTATTAGTTCTAATAACTACACTTAATAGAAATTCAAGATGCAAAATATTTTTTAATTTAAAAATGATTATTAGTAATATCTTATTACCATTTACTATACCTGCAAGCTTAATAGTAAAACAAGATTTTTCATAATTACAAATCCTAATACTAATAGTCTTGTTTTCTTTATTATTAATAGTTATATTACTCAGCATATCAAAAATAAGAGAGGTTTTATCCATATTGCCTATTAATGATAATAAGTAATTATGTTAAATACAACAATACTAAACAAAGCTCAAAAATTCTTGTTGTTATACTTCTAATTCTGATAGTAGTTTTTGTGCAACTATTGTTTTACGATGAATGCTAAAATTATATTACTATAAAAACTATTGAGCCACTTATTACTCTACTTGAATTTATCAATATCAAAATAATAAAAAATATATTATAGAGATTTTGCTAGTGCTGCAGCTTTAGTTTATACTATAATATAACTAATTGGTTTTAACTCACTATGTAAAACTCAAACCTATTTAGGAGTTCTGTTTCAAGATCAGAATAACTTGGTTGAGAATTAGCATTAAGACATTTAATATAAGGTTAAGTTAACAATAGCTCTTTTTGCTTATTTCTCCAATTCCAAACTTGCTTAGGTTGGATTTGAAATTTATTAGCTATTTCATATACAGTAATACTAAAAACTCTTTCAAGGTAAGAAATTATAAAAAATTTTTCTAAACTATCTACTGTTAGATTCTTTTTGTTGAAGCTTTGTTGTACAAATACTTTTCAAGTATACTATAATCAAATATAAAAAAGTTTATTTTTAAATTTTATTTTAGTAAAAAAATACAACTTAAAAAACTTAGAATTTAAAAAACTTAAAGCTTAAAAAATGCTTAAAAATAAAAAGTTTATATTTATATTTAAAAAAAACATTCATGAAAAAAAATTTGATTACAAAAAAAAAATTTTTGATTATATATAAAAAAAAATTTTTTTTTTAAAAAAAGAGATATTCTATAGAATAGATGGGCATTATAAGAAATAAACTTTGCTAATAATTAATAATCATTAATTTTTTAATAGTAGAGTTGCAAAGTTTGCAGAGTTTGCTCACCTATTCTATAAATATTCAAAAAAATATATTTAATTATATTTAAGACCTCTTTATAATTGTTATGTATTATAAAACCTTATACTTAAAAGTACTATTTATAATTTAAAAAATTTAGCTTATTTTGACATATGTTA